GTATTAGTCTTCACCCCACATTCCTAAGAGAGATGGAAGATTCTGTCAGCTTCCTCCTTGTATCATACAGATATTACTTCTTTTCAGTTTTACTTCTCTTTCAGTTCAAGCTCCTATTTTCTCTTACCTAGAGAAATGTTTCTCTAACTTAAATAATATACTAGTCTCTTACAAAGGAAAAAACTTTATGAATCTCGCTGTCAAATCAAGTTTTTGTGATTTTGCTTAAAGATATACAAATAAAATTGGTGTAAACTTCTTACACTTACAGTTCTTATACAAATCTAAAACCAAACCAAATTTTTACATTTACTACTTTCAAAACTAGCATAACTAAAATGACCAAATTACAGTCAGTACTGTTTTGCCAAAATTAACCTATCAATTTTGAATTAATAATATAAAGATGTACACTTAGATCTGTTTCTATATAATCTGTCTCTGTGTTTTTCCCTCGTTTTTTAGTTGTGGTAAAATACACATGAAATTTACTATCTTAACTATTTTTTTTTTGTTTTTTTGAAACAGAGTCTCGCCCCGTAGCCCAGGCTGGAGTGCAATGGCATGATCTCGGCTCACTGCAACCTCTGTCTCCCAGGTTCAAGCGATTCTTCTGCCTCAGCCGCCGAAGTAGCTGGGATACAGGCGCATGCCACCATGCCCAGCTAATTTTTGTATTTTTAGTAGAGACAGGATTTCACCATGTTGGTCAGGCTGGTCTCGAACTCCCAACTCGTGATCCACCCGCCTCAGCCTCCCAAAGTGCTGGGATTACAGGCGTGAGCAACCGCGCCCGGCCGTTATCTTAACTGATTTTAAGGGTAGAGTGCAGTGGTATGAAGTACATTTATATTGCTGTGCAACTATCACCACCATTCATCTCCAGAACTCTTTTCCTCTTGCAAAACAGAAACTCTACTCATTAAACAATCACTCTCCATTCCTTCTTCCCTCCAGCCCCTGGAAGCCATCATTCTACTTTCTGTCTTTATATTTTGACTACTCTAAGTACCTCATGTAACTGTAATCATACAGTATTTGTCTTTTGGTGACTAGCTTATTTCACTTAGCATAATACCTTCAAGTTTCTGTGTTGTAGCATATGTCCAAATTTTCTTTCTTATTAAGGAGAATAATATTCCATTTTATATATATAATATATATTAATATTATATGCATGATAGATAACATATAATTAATTAATAATATATTAATATTAATGTATTATTATATAACATATAATTATATATGCTATATATATACCGTATTTTGCTATCCATTTATTCATCAATGGATATGGGCTGCTTTCATATTTTACCTATTATAAATAATGCTGCTATGAACAAATATACCTTTGAGACCCTATTTTCAATTCTTTTGAGTATCTGCCCAGAACTGGAATTCCTGGATCACTTGGTAATTTTATTTTTTAATTTTTTGAGAAAATGCCATACTATTTTCCATATCAACTGTACCATTTCACATTCCCACCAAAAGTGCTCACATGTTCCAATTTCTCTATATCCTTAACAATATTTATTTTCTATTTTGATAGTAGCCATCCTAATGGGTGAGGTGGTATCTCAATATAGTTTTGACTTACATTTGTCTAATGATTAGTGATGCTGAGCATCTTTTTATGTGCTTCTCAGCTTTTTGCATATTTTCTTTTGAGAAATGTCTATTCAAGTTTCTTGGCCATTTTTTAATTACGTTGTTTATTTTTGTTGTTGTTGTCTGTGGTTTTACCTCTATAACTCTCAAATAAACACTACTCGTTTGAATAAGAATGTTTCACGAAATGATTTTAGTAACTTGAGACTTTGTGTGCTCTTTCAGAAAAATCAGACTTCATATATAGCCAAACTCTGGCACTATGCATTTCTCAAATGCCAATTTTAACGAGCTATCATTTGATAATTCAATAAAGCTTGTTCGTTCATTTTAAGGTAAGGTTAGCATGGGGAAGTTATTGAAATCTGCATTGTATGGATGCATAAAATCAGGTGCAGAAAAATTCTTTGTTACTTTTGCTTTTGTATCAACTACTTATCAGTGAAGCAAGTTGGCACATATAATGACATAATTATGCTGTTAAAGCTCTAGCAAAAGTTTCTTTAAGATAGCCATGCCTATACTGCTGGGTACTGTCTAATAACTCATTTTTTTCATCACATTATTAAGTTTTAGAAACATTTTTTAAGCACCAAGTTTGGGTATTTTTTTTATTCTGTAATAAATTAAAATGTCAGAAAGTTCAGCTTTCAAATTAACTATGTCTCTTAGGCTGTATTTATAATTCACATTATTAAATAATAATATTATTCTTAAATTTCTAATTCACATTGAAAGATATTATTAAATGACAGTCAACTTTTCTGACTGAATAATGTTTCAGTCAATTTTTATTCAGAAAAAAAACAGAAGTTTCAGTCTTTGATAACAAAAATGTTTTCTCAGGATGGAAAGTTTTCAGTATAACCCTTTAACTGGTGATTTATCACTCAGAAAGCAAGGTTTTAAAATTGTAAATCTTGACCGGGCATGATGGCTCACACCTGTAATCCCATCACTTTGGGAGGCCGAGGCAGGCAGATCACGAGGTCAGGAGTTCGAGAGCAACCTGGACAACATAGTGAAATCCTGTCTCCACTAAAAATACAAAAACTAGCTGGGTGTGGTGGCATGCATCTGTAGTCTCAGCTACTCAGGAGGCTGAGGCAGGAGAATCACTTGAACCCAGGTGGCGGAGGTTGCAGTGAGCCGAGACGGCGCCATTGCACTCCAGCCTGAGCAAGACAGACAGAGCAAGACTCTGTCTCAAAAACAAACAAACGAAAAAACCTGTAAATCTTTTTTTTGATTTTTAAGATCAATTTCACGTATCCCCTCTCCACAATATGAAATCTCCCTACCCACAATAGTCATTCCTTGGACCTTATAGTATTTGGTACCTATCTCTCAATTACTACATTTAGAACTAAAATTTTTATTTTGTTTCTTTACGTGACTTCTCATCCAATCATCTGTGGGGTCTTAAGAGGTAGCATCTCCATACATCCAATGCAACCTCAGAATCATGTACATCCTTACTTAGCAAATGTTTAATAACTGGATGTACAATAATAGGAATGAAAACCTACTTTTCTTTTGCCAGAAGTTGCCACCACTCAAATATTAATAGTCTGATGCTGTGATGAACCTGTGTGGTTCCTCTGTCTCTCTTACTTCAGCCAGCATTACACATGTAGAGTCAATGAAGTTCTTTTCCTTGGCAGACAGCTGGACTGAACATTACAATGTAAATTTTCAAAATTTCCAAAACTTTAGAGTGCAAGACTCTACAGTTAGGTTTCTAGGTCTCCTTATGAGTAAAGAGAATTCAAGACCCCCTCACAGAGAATAACCAGGAAAGAATGATCATATGTCTCACAGCCCACACTGTATTTTTCTGTAGTCTCTCAATTCAAGAAGTAGAGCATGAAGGCACCCCTAATGAAATTCATCCTCTTTAAAACTTCTTTAAATAGAAAATAATCTAAACTGTTCTCCAATAGTGAGAACCAGTCTTCCTCTAGCCACTGTTGGGTCCAGATTGAAAATGCCCATAGCAAGTAGGGTGATCAATCTCCCACTGTCCCGACTCCTGCCCATTTGTCTAAGACTGGGGGATTTCCTGGGATGCAGAAATTTCAGTGCTAAATATGGGACAGTCCCAGGAAAATTGAGAAAGCTGGTCATCCTAAGTTGGAAAAATGCCATTATCTCCCATGCCAGTTCCCCAGGTGGACAGACACACTTAGGCCAATTCAATTAGTAACTGTAGGCTTTACAGGTGGTAGGCACTTATATAAAAAGTGTCTGTGTACCTCTACCACCACCACCACCTCCCTTATTTATTTATTTATTTATTTTGGACTACAACATTTCTTTAGTTAGAGCAAGCGATCCCAAACTTTACTATGCAACAGAATCACCTAAAGGGCTTGTTAAAATACAGATTGCTTGACCCTGTACCTGGGTTGAGACCTAATTGAGTAGGTCTGGGATAGTGCTAAAAACCTGTATTTCTGACAAGTTACCAGAAGCTGCTGATGATGCTGAGTTGGAGACTCAGTTTTGAGAATTACTGCTCTAGAAGTTTTGCACATTATCATCTTCTGGGACTAACACATAATCAAAAATCAAAACATGTCAGTTGAAAGTATGAACACATGAATCAGCAATAAAAAGTACAGACTATTTTAAGAATCAATCTTATTTTCTACATTTCTGAAGCGACTTTCAGTGGTAAGTACAGTTTTTAAAAAATCTTAATACACAAAGCATAATAGAAAAGGTTTACACTTTTAGGCAAGTTTTTCAAAGAGGTGGAATAGTATTCTTTATTATTGGATTTACTTTAATGACTGATTTCTCTGTAGAAAAGTAAGCACACCGTAGCGTAATTCTAGTGACATTTGGTTCCTCTTACGTATACTCAAACCTAACAGTTGAAATATCTTTTGTCCTTAAGTCACAGTTTCACAATTATCATTTACTCTAGCATACCAAACAGGAAAAAAAAAAAAGTTCATGTTGATAACACAGTCTACATTTCTTCCAACTTTTGCAAATATTTTAATGTAACTGAGTGTGTATCACAAATATAAAAGCAATTTCAGACTGTAAATATGCATTCAATTTTATGTTCAAATTCTGCCTTTGAAAACATCTATTGCTTCCCATCAGTACACACCTTTGCCTTTAACTGGGGAGATATGGCCCTTATCTTCAAATAAATGTTCCTAACTACCCTCATTAAATGTCTGATTTGACCTAGGAGAAACTGATGCATGGTGCTTCGGTGGCAGTATTTAAATCCCATATCTATAAAATGTTTCTAGGGAAATTGATCTGAAATAGAAAACTTCTATCATTCTGATGAACAAAATGAATTTCTAAATGTCTCAGCCTCAGAAACTAGCTTTCAGTAATAACAATTCTGTTTTTGTCCCCAGCGTTCCGGTGGTGCCCTTGCCATTCCCTTGTGTGCATTCCAGGGGACTGTGTCTCTGCATGCACCTACAGGGAAAACCCTATCTCTTTCTACCTATGAGGTAAGCGCAGAAGGGCAAAAAATAACTCCAGCCTCTAAGAAAATAGAAGTCTATCGATCCAAAAGTGTTGGCCATGAACCAAACTCAGAAGATTCTTCATCCACGTTTGCAGACACCAGTGTGAAAATACACTTGGAGGTTCTTGAAATTTGCGATAATGAAGAGGCCTTGGACACTGTGTCAATCATTAGTAACATCAGCCAGTCCTCCACACAAGTCAGATCTCCATCCTTACGTTACTCCAGGAAAGAAAACAGATTTGTTTCCTGTGATCTAGGGGAAACGGCCTCATACTCCCTCTTTTTGCCCACCAGTAATCCTGATGGTGATATCAATATCTCCATTCCAGACACCGTAGAAGCACACAGGCAGAATAGTAAAAGGCAGCATCAAGAGAGGGATGGCTATCAGGAGGAAATCCAGTTGTTAAATAAAGCTTACAGAAAAAGAGAGGAAGAGAGCAAGGGTAGTTAATGGATATTTGGTCTAACAGCAGCAAGAATGGATCTGCAACGTCAGCTGTGAAACTAACACCTTTGTTATGAGACTGATTTCCTTTTATTTGTTGGTTTACATAAGTTTTACTGATTTAATAATTAATTTTTTGTGGGAACAACTAGAACTAGTGTAAACAATTAAGTGCATTTGATGTGTTACCTAAAGATCACACACTGTGGTAATTAAAAGATTTTGCTTCTTATCCGATTTCTAAAAAATCTGTTCTAAATCAAATCTTGGCCTACTTTACTAGTGTTTTTGCTTATGTTTGTCAACCTCCTAGTAAACAGAAAATTGTATAAACTCAGTTACTATACTGTTCCATGTATATGTTTCTACATATAATGTTGGCCTTTACTGCAAAGGGGTAAAAAGAGAAATTTTGGGAATGGAAGAAATGTAACAAAACTCCAAATTGTATTTGAAGGAACTTGCCTAAATGTGGCTAGCAAAACAAGCTTATTACACTTACTGCTTTAGCTTTACATTCTTCTGTAAAATGAAAAATTAGCTTCCAACTGGAAAACATGCATGTTCCTAGTCTATAAATAGTTGTTTCCTTCATTTCTACCAAATACAAATTGTTTACTGTTTTTTCTTTCTTTCTTACCTATAACAGTGTTCCTTTCATCTTTTCAGTATGTCAAGACTGTCCCATAAAACAAGTATGTTGTGTGTTAGAGGTGGAATTAGAAGTATCTTTAATTCAAACATTATTGGAAAAAAGTTGTAATCATATAATTGTATACTTTTTCCTAAATTTTTTTAACTTGAGTGGAAATTGGGGGAAAATACTGGCAGATTCAGTTCTGAGAGGTGCCTTCAAACATGGTAGGCTTCTGGATACAGCAGTCCAAAATCCTATAAGTCTAAAACAGAAGTATCTGTTTTTAAAGCTATGGATTGGGCAAACTTTCTTAGTTATTCTTGAAACAGAAAAGTTTACTTCAAATATTATATCAAGTTTAGGTGCTTCTTTGTTTCTTCTCTAAAGACGTGTTGTCTCAAAGAAACAATTGAACCTATTTTATTAAGTGATTGTAAGATATACATTTCAAGACAATTCTAGAAGGCATTACATTGCAAAAATGCAGGAATCACCTTGGCAGAATAATAGCAATGTGTATTTCAAAAATTATAAAGTGATTTTTCTTCAAATTGCTTTATTCTAACCTTCCTGTAAACATATATGAAATATATTACCTAAAAGTTTATTTTCCAAAGTTACTAAGTTGACACTTTACATGGTCTTAGACTTTGTGCCCCTCCCCTCACTCATATACTCCATTTATTTACAGATGAATGAATTGTATTTTAGAATGATTTATTTCTGTTTCTATTTTTTTAGCTTGAATGAGAATTCAAAATTGCTTGACAGGGGCTTTCAGAATGTTTCATCTTCAAAGGGTGTTTTGTTGCCACAAGGACAAGTCATTTTCAAAATAATTATCTCAATGGACTTTCTCAATCTTTAACTTCTCATTATCTAGTTGTCTAAATTTGGGAAACATATGTATTACCATTAATAATGTTTGTAAAGCAAGCCTCAAATAATGTGTAACATATGAATTCAAAGTCAAATGTATTCTCATTACAAATATATTTTATTTTAAAAGACTGTATCACCAATATTAACAGCTATTTTCACACAGTGACAAATGAACAGATCAATCAGATATTATAAATCAGTAGCATTAAATGTCTTTATAAAAGAAAAATTGAATTGAATATTCTAATAGTGCTTTGTAAAAGATAGGCTTTGATATCTTAAACTTAGATGTATAATTTTCTGAAAGAGAAAGGTGATATTGCTGCTTTAAAATGCAATTTCAGGCAAAAAGTAAATTAGACACAGGATCATAATAAAGCTGAAAAACAGCAAAGATTTGGAGGCAAACGTATTCTTTATAACTGCACAGCAATTTGAATGGGACAGAGATTATAACAGAAATCAAGGTTTAAAGAGCATTAAGAAATAGATAGAAGATAGTAATGCCCATTTTCCCTCTCATTTTATTTTAACTGAACAAAAGTTTAAACTAGGGGAATTGGAAAAATAATTAAGATATTCCCATTTCATTGCACTTGGTTGTTGAATTAACTGTATAATGGATGCACATAAAAATTCTGCTGCATTGAAACAACACCAGGATTATTTAGCCCAAAGTCATAGTTTGAAAGGCTAATCAGCATCATATTACTAACATGTAACACTTCAAATTCCAAGCCAACAATAGCTAAGTATACAAGAAAAATCTACTAGAGCTGTGCTTAAGCATGAATGGCGCTCCAAATCCTTGTTAAGGGAGGAGAAGATTAAACTACACAAGTTCACTTAAGTCTACTTACTCTGTAGAGTGATTGATTATAAAAGTGTTTCTAGTAGAGGAAATAAATACCTTTATAGATATCTTGTGATATAGCCAAATACCTTACCCTTGTATAGTTATATTGTTCTTCTTATTAATAAATACTCTATTTTGTATAGTTATCTCTTTTCTCTGTAAATTGATGTATCTGAAGGCAAAAACTTCTTGTTACCTAATAAAAATATCACCATCTGGTGGTGACTCCTATAAACTGCAAATACGTAATCCCTAAGACTCCCTAATAGTATAAACACCTAATACATAATCTCTAACACTTCTGAGAGTTGTGACTGACAGAGGCAACTCTTTGAAGATAGCAAATGCCATCATATTACTTAAAATACAATAAAAAAGTCTTAGTTATGCATTTTCGGAAGTTTTTCTTGACATGTGTCTGTAATATTGGATTTTATAAATCAATTTTCTCTTAATTTCTTATACTTTTCAGCTACTGTAATTCATTTCTTCATTCTAATATTTAATAAATGACTACGACATACTAAAAATTGTTCTAGGTACTTGGTTTTATAACTTTTGAACAAAACTCAAACAAAACAAATATATGTATTTATATTTACTGAGTTTGAGACAACCACAAAGTCAGAGAACACAGTCCACACAAGATATCTCTCACTCGTGACACAAATTGCAAATTGCAAATTCAAGGAGTTCCCAAAACCACTGCTAGTTTCAATAACTCACTAGAAGGGCTCACAGAATTCATAGAAAACTGTGTACTCATGGTTATGGTTTATTACAGCAAAAGGACACAGAATAAAATCAGCCTAGAGAAGAGGTCACAGAGCCAAGTCCAGGAAAAGTTGTAAATGTGGAATTTCTATGGTACTCTCCCCATGGAGTCATGGATGGCATTACTTTCTTTGGCGTCGATGTGTGACAGCTTGCACAGAATACTGCCAAGCAGAAAAGCTCAACTGAACCTTGGTGTCCAGAGTCCTTACTGGGGCTGCATCATGGTGGGAGCAAGGGTAAGCATGGCTGACTACTCACATGACTGATGTCTCTTTTAGGCTCTCCAGGAGGCCAAGTTGATACAGAATGCCCAAAAGTCCCCTCTCCAAAACACATTGTTACTATCTGCTGGTCCAAGGCCCCCAGACAAACAAAGATACTCTTCAGCCATGACATTCCAAGGGCTTAGAAATTACCTCCCCAGAAGCTGAGGACAAAGGCCAAACCTCTCTTTGGATAGGTTACGTTCTTTTCTATACATTTACATATATACATATGGTAGTGATAAGTGTGTGGTACACATATATGTATGCTGGTATTAAGTGTACTGACAGAAAATAGGGACCAGAGGTAACAATGGCCAAAGAGTAAAATTAGAATAAAGGGACAAATATGGGAAGAGTGTTTGTTTTCAATAATTTAGTCAGAAAAGCCTTCACTGATAAAGTAATATTTCATCAGAGCCTCAAATAAAGTGAGGAAACATGCTATGTGATTATCTAGGGAAATCACAGTCCCAGCAAAGGGAACAGCAAGTATCCAGAAGTAGGAGTGTGGCTGTTGGAATCTGAAACCATTAAGGAGGTCAATGTGAATGCAGCTGAGTGACAAAGGGAGAAAGTGGTTGGAGATAAAGGCAAACAGATAATAGCAGGAGGAGACGGGCTATTAGTGCCTTGCAGACCAGGTATGAACACTGAGTCTTGTTTTAAATGAAGTGAAAAGCCATCGGAGGGCTCTGAGCAAAAAAGTGACATGATCTGATTTCAAAAATGATTATCTATTGCAAGGGCCAAAGACTGTACAGACACAAAAACCACCACAGAAAGAACACTTAGGCTATTCTAATAGTCTAGGCTAGAGATGATGTTGGTTAGGTTTAGGGTGGTAGTAGTAGAGATGGCATTAGAATTGTATTCTGATGCAATAAGTGGAGAGGATTTCCTTGGTAACATGAAATAAATCACACATTTCTTAAAAGCCTATGAAGCCTATAGCTTGAGGGAAAAACAATTATCACATTTATTTTCTGTCAATACTCTGCAATATCTCAATGTTTCTCCACTCCTCTATGTATCACAGAGCCTAGAAGACAGAAAACTTTGTTTCCAAGACCCTCTTTTCTGCAAAGTTCAGGTTTAGCATCTAACAATGAAAGGCATTTGTACAAGATTTGGAAGGCAGAGAGCAGCAGCAGTTAAATGAATGTTCCTTATCATTCCTTTCTTCTTTAAGATATGGCTCAGGGGTCTAGGTTCATGTAGTTTTACAATGTTAATGTATGGTTCTTATGATCATTTTGCTCATCTGCATCAGCCGACAGATGGGAAAAGGACATGAAGGATTCTGCACTGGAGTGCTTGGTGAGACTGGCTTGGAAGAACTGCACCTCAGTCATTGCAGCCTCTGCTATTGGTAGAACTCAATACAGAACCACAGCTGATTCCAAAGAAGACTAGGAAATATATCTAGCTGTGTACATGAAGAAGAACCCAAACTATGGTGAAGAACTAGCAAGTCTGTCTCTGTTGCATGCCCTATAACCAACTAGACAATCACATACTGTACCATAATATAATGTAAATAGCGCTCCCTGCCCATTTTTATAAGCTGCAGAGGCAGAGGCATTGCACA